TTTGGTCCCAGAGGCCACAAGTGCCCCTTTCAGCACTGGCCCCGCACTAAGGAAGGAGCCCCGGGGAGTCCCACCTGAGCCTTGGCTCCCCTGCACCCACGCAGCCCCCGAGCCCACGCACCCGCTCCTAGGGGAGGCTCTTCCAGTCGTTGGAGACAGCTCTTGTCTTGAGGGAAATATCCTGTCAAGACATCAGGTTTGTGGGGAAAATCTGAAAAGAAAGCGCATGTCACTGGGTTTGGCCCACCTGCTACATGTCAACAATGCTCCTAGCTCACCCCACTCATTTGTTTCCTGGGCGCAGGCCTAGCTCTCTATTTTGACTCCTGGACACTTTGACACTTCCTGTTTCGTTTCTTCCTGACTAGCTGCTCATGCTCTGAAATCGTGTGTTCCTGGGCCTGTGTAAAGACTGCCTCATCCCCACGTAACCCTGAGTCTTGGGGTTGGGGGACTGGATGGGGAACAGGGTCACTTAGGAGCTGGAGGACACCAAGGGATGACAGCACAAAGCCCAGCAGGAATGCATGTTCCCTGGGTGCCAGCCCAGCCCAGCACCATGCACCACCGCTGCTGGGGGCACTGTGATAAGTGCTAAGTAACTTCAGGGAAGTGAAGCAAGAACGCTTCTGCAAATTAGTTTCATGGAGAAAAAGCATTTACAGAATGTTTCTCCTCTAGGAGCTATTAACAGTAATACAGAATGAAAGTACATTAAAAAGAACAGCATCCCAGTCAAAGGGCGGCTCAAGAACTCACTGAATGCTCCCACCATCCCACACAAGACACACTGTCATGGCCCCATGTGGGGAGGCGGAAACTGAGGCCAGAGGGGTCAGGTGCTGCAGCCAAGGCCAGTGGCAAAGTAGGACTGTGCCAGGGTCTCTGACCCAGCTTTCCTGCCCTTCTCTCCAGTGTTGGGCTGAGGTGGGAATGAAGCAGCTCTGCCAAGGGGCAAGCTACATAGCCCACAGCCACGAGTGCTCACAGAGGAAGTGTGTGGTCTCAGGAAGAGTTGCTAGCACCCGGGAGGCGCTCGGCCACATGGACGTATATGTGAGGGCTCAAAGTCCACAGGAAATCAAATCAGGAGTTAATGGACTTTTACCAGAAGATTTGTGATGGCCCCTCATGGGTCCCAATATAAATGTACCCCACTGAGCAAGGGCTGAGAGGTAGAAACACAAGGTCAGGCTCACGGTGGCCACCACAGGAAGCTGGAGGTGAGAGCGAGGCATCCCTTCATTTACCGGTCAGGTTGGGCTGGTTTGGCGTGGGCTGCAGGGTAGCGATTTCAGAAGGAAGGACAAACAGCCCGTCCAGGACGCCATCGATGGCAGCCTGTAGGTCCGGTTCCACGTTAGAGCGGAGCTTGGACAAGAACTCCACAGCTCCAAGGTCCACCAGGTGCTGGACAGCTGGAGGGTGCTGCAAACAAGAGCTGGGTCAGGAAACCACCCCCACGTCCACTTCCCAGGAGCCATGGTAAGCACTGGGCTGCTGAGGGCATGGTCAGTGATTCACACCCACCAGATGCTCCCTGGGAGAAAGGCGACTGCTAGACTGACAGCCTGAGAAACCCTGTCTGTCACTATGAGCGGAGTCAACTCTATGATGTGAGTTTGGGTTTGCGTCAGACTCCCTAAACTCTGCTGAGTGGTGACTGGTGTGTGCAGTCCTGTCAATTCTGACTCAGCAGAGTAGGACTGCTTCTCCACCACACCGAGAGCAAGTGTGAGTCAATTCCAACCCATAGCCACCCTGTAGGACAGGGTAGAACTGCCCCTGTGGGTCTCCAAGACTGGAACGCTTTACGGGAGCAGAAAGCCTCATCTTTCTCCCACAGAGTAGCGAGTGGTTTCAAACAGGGTTTGAAGTAGCCTTCACAGAAACAGATGGCCAGGGATTTTCTCCCTAGGAGCGGCTGGTGGGTTAAAACCACCGACTTTTTGGTTAGCAGCTGAGCTCTTAACCTTTGTGCTACGAGGCCCCTAAACTGGTAGCGCAGTGAGCTAATGTTGGCAGACCAGAGGGCTTCTTTAAGACATAAAGAAATTGCACCTGAGCAAAGACGGTCCAGGAATACAGGAGCTTGTGGGTTTCTGAGGCTGCACATCTTTGTGGGAACAGAAGTTCCCATCTTTCTCCCATGGAGCATTTAAAGGTTTAAAGAGCTGACTGTGTGATTAGCAGCTTCATACGCTGTACATTTACTAAAGTACTTATTAGCTTGCCCAGCAGTGGAAACCTCACAAAGTCTGGCCCTGTCCCCAACTGGCTCACGCCAATGGTAACGTTCCTACCTCTAGATTTCACCACTCCCAGTCATCTGTCAGCACTCTCAGCACAGAAGCTTGCTATTTTGTTTCTAATGTCACTGCCTAATGAGAAATTGATCACTGCCTAATGAGATATGACTGATCTACTCTATTTTGAATTAGTAGCTCTGTCACCAACATCATTCAAAACTGCACAATGAACTGTTTTGCTACATGTTTCCAAAAGCAGTCCTTCTACTTGCTTGCCCAGCACAAGACATGTCTGACATTAGTCAAAAGAATACGAAAGTAACCTTTGGAATTCCTTAGAATTATAAAGGAGCCCTGGTGGCACAGTGGTTACGCGCTGGGCTGTTAACCACAAGGTCAGCAGTTCAAAACCACCAGCGATCCATGGGA